TTGTATGGCTCGCTCTTCCCAGACCTGCTCTCTTTTGGCCTGTATTTTGGAGCTTTATAATCTAGAAAGACTTTGGGAGAACTGGTTGACAAGTCTTATCAGTCGCTGACATATGAGCTGGGGAGCAGGCGGGCTGGCGAACCCCCCTAGATTTAGAGGCCCTGGGCTTCAGCCTACTTAGCCTATACATAAATCCTGCACTGGCTTTCAAACTGCTAGGTTGGCAGGAGCTGGGACAGAGCAACGGGAGCTCACCCTGCCATGAGGATTTGAACCACCAACCTTCTCATCAGCAAGCCCAAGAGGCGCAGTGGTTTAGATCACAGCGCCACCCGCACCATGATAAACTAGAACAAACCTATCACTTTTATTAACACAACAGAAGTCACATCCACACAATACATTTAAAGCACTCTTATACAACAGCTGTGTGAGAGTTGTATCAGGCCTGGCTCCCAGAGACATAGCTCCTGTTGATACTAGGCTTCCTGCAGCCTGGTGCTTCCTAATATAAACCTAGTTTCTGCCCTCTCCATAGCACCTGGTGGCTTATTTTCACTCACTGATTCCAGTTACACTTCCAGCTCTGATAGCACTCAATGGAACAATACATCCAAAGAATGAGAAGCCCTAGAAGCTGGTTTGCTGCCTATTGATTGTGTCCATCATGCCTTAAAGTTGGTCTGTTGTGCTTTTCTCAGGGTTTAGTTTTGCTTCCAAAGCTCTCACAAAAGCTGCCTAACAGATCTATAGTCAGGTCAATTTCTCATCTTTTCTTGAACAAGCGAATAGCATTGTTGGCAGCATGTGCCATCCAACTTTATCTGGTTTGGTACATGATAATATGTCAGTAAGAGACTTTGGCAAAGTGCCAGTTCGGGATTTTAGCGAGGGTTCTGCAGCCCATGTAATCCAGATGCCACTTTCCATTTTCATTACATTATCTTGCATAGGAAACAAAATGCATGTTGAATGGGGTTGCTTGATAGGCTGCCTTGTGTTATCAACCGGCTATAAAGCTTTGCTGAAAATTTTGCTAAGATTTTCAGAAAGAATTTATCTGAATCCATCTGACCAAACGTGACCTGCTTTAACCAATGACTAGTGATGCTCTAGTCATTGACCAGATAACCAATGACTAGGGGACGCAGGTGGCACTGTGGGTTAAACCACAGAGCCTAGGACTTGCCGATCAGAAGGTTGGCAGTTCGAATCCCCGCGATGGGGTGAGCTCCCTTTGCTTGGTCCCTGCTCCTGCCAACCTAGCAATTCAAAAGCACATCAAAGTGCAAGTAGATAATAGGTACCACTCCAGCGGGAAGGTAAACGGCGTTTCCATGTGCTGCTCTGGTTCCCCAGAAGCGGCTTAGTCATGCTGGCCACATGACCCAGAAGCTGTACGCCGGCTCCCTCGGCCAATAAAGTGAGATGAGCGCTGCAACCCCAGAGTCGGCCATGACTGGACCTAATGGTCAGGGGTCCCTTTACCTTATTAGTGATGCTCTGCACATGCAGAGGAATATAATCTGTTGCTTGTTTCCATAGAAAATGCCACCTGACCGATTTCAGGTGGCATTTTCTATGGAAACAAGCATCAGATCGATGATGACTCTCTGGGCAAAGGATTTTGAGTTAGCAGTGCGGAACAGATTATGGACAACAGGTTTGAAATTTACAGCACGTTACACTCTGAAGGAAAACTATATGGAAATGATGTACTGTTGGTATTTAACTCCTAGTAAATTAGCTAAAATGTACAAACATGCTGGAAATGCAAAGAGAAAGAGGGCACTTTTTATCATATGAGGTGGCCATGTAAGGTGGTGAAAGATTTCTGGGAAATGATATATAATGAACTGAAATAAATGCTGAAAAAAACTTCTCTTAAAAGACCAGAAGCTTTTCTTTTGGGGATTTTAGGTACAGAGATTCTGAAGGACCAGATTAAATTATTTATGTACACGACCACAGCCACAAGGGTCTCACTAGCCCAGAGACTGAAAGATGGTACAACAGTTGGGAGATCAATTATGGCTTTCTGGCATATAATGGGGCATAGCAAGTCTGAAGGTTAGAAGTATCTAATTGAATATCTTTCTTATGTTTTCCCAATGTGCAATTGCTCAAGCTACTTGTACTTTTCAGGCAGACAAATCATTATGAGATGATGATGGTCATCAGATTGCATTATTTCTTATTTAGGTTGAAGTCTTCCTAGCTAATGGGCCGGGCAAATGCTCTTTATATTGTAGTGTTTACTTAGCTACATTGTTGATAGCAGTCCACAGTACTACTTTCACATTTGTATCATTCTTAGTGGTATTGAAATCGTTCCGTATTTTCCCATGAGAAACATTTTCTGCAGCTTCTTCCATTTCCATTTGTAATGTTATTACTCTATTTCCTAATGTATTTAATAATGCAATTCAGAGTTAAACATTCTCTCTGGATAAAAATAATTGAGAAGACAATAGGGACTTTTTTAAGCAATTGTGTTAATTAAGAAATTAACATGACAGTGCATTTCTGCTCAGTTTCTCCATACTCTCTGGATTAGAAAAGTCACTTGGTATTCAGTCTGATAACGACACCTTGAGCATAAAATAAATTAACAGGAATGCATAGCATGTCATGTCTGGTGTATAATGAAAATAACTTTGCATCTGTACCCACCATCATTGCCATTCCTGGCACCAGCAGTCATCTCACTTACAGCAATGAGACTACTAGGTTGCTAAACAGAGAAAGGTGTACAAGTGAGCTGTGCGTCTTCTTTCTGAATTTCCCTATACAGTGGTACCTCGGTTTACAGACGCTTCAGGTTACGGACTCCGCTAACCCAGAAATGGTACCTCAGGTTAAGAACTTTGCTTCAGGATGAGAACAGAAATTGAGCGGCTGCGGTGCGGTGGCAGTGAGAGGCCCCATTAGCTAAAGTGGTACTTCAGGTTAAGAACAGTTTCAGGTTAAGAATGGACCTCCAGAACGATTTAAGTTATTAACCCAAGGTACCACTGCAGTAAGACAAGGGTACACAAATGGTGGGCAAAGCTCGCATGAATCACATGAGAAGGCTGTACAACTTCCCCCTTCTGACCAGTACTCCAGAAGCACATAAAAACAGATACACCACTGAGTAACTCACACATTTTTTTTTATTCAATATTTCCTCATGTTGTCTAAAACTACTTGTATATTAGCATTATCAGATGTAATTTTTCTTCAGTAGAATTGGTCTTTCTCTGTCACTTTCAACCTTATTGCTATGACTATACCACACTCTCCAACATTTCTCCGATGAAAATAGGGACGTCCCATTCCATAATGATAATTTTTACTATTTATACCTCATACATCTTACTGGGTTGCCCCAGTCACTCTGGGAAGCTTCCAACATATATGAAAACATAATGAAACATTAAACATTTTTAAAAACTTCCCTATACAGGATTGCCTTCAGATGGCTTGGAGGTTGGATAATGCCATACCTTCCAACATTTTTCCAGGGGAAAAAAGGACATCCTAAGGAAAAGTGGGACATTTCAGGATCAAATCAGAAACTGGGATGGCTTCTCTAAATCAGGGATGTCCCTGGAAAACAGGGACACTTGGAGGGTCTGCTGCACTCTTAGGGGATATGCATTTCATACCAAAACTAGTAAGTAAGGCATTGGAAGAAAAGAGTTGGGTCTTTTTTTTTTCTGAGTCTGCCCCCAATTTTCTGTGTTTCAAACCAGTTCAAGTACATTCCCCTCATTTCACTGCTTATTTATCATCTGAGAATCCAGAACTCCATCCTGTTCTTTTCTCATTATCAGATCTCTACAAATATGTCATTTCCTGGGCCTGTGCTAAGAAGTGCAAAGTGTCTAAAATATATGTTTTCAGTTGCCTGATCTCTAACATTTTTTTGATCAGTGCACAGCTAGTGGTGTGCAGTAATGACCTTCTGGCAGCATGTCACTGCCACCAAACAGTGAACATTAGGTGTTTGTTTTTTTTTTGTAGAACCCCCTAAAAATCAACATAGATGACTTAATGTGGGGAATCTTCCACTGATACCCACCTTAAAATGCAATATAGTAAGCACTTAAATCAAAACCTTCAGCAAAACAACTCACTGGTCCCCATGTGAAAAGTTCTAAGTAAAAAAGTGCTACTTAACTGGACCGTAATTAGTGCTATGAAAGCCATCAGCAGAAGGGGGGAAGTGTAGAAATGATTGATAACTGTGCATTATTGACTCATGCCTATTTGCCTTCCAAGTCTTGAAGGCTAGATGCCCCCGACATCCATATGAGGAGCAGAGTCTGGGATACAAGCAACATGATTCTCTCCTGAAAATAAGCTTTCCATTACTTTTTCATACTTTGAAATGTCACTGCCAAATATTCACCTTCATAATCAAGTATAATTATTGGCCTGCTGGTTGTTTTTATCAAAGCATTTGCTGCTTACTCTAGCTGGATCCTCTTCTCCCCAGTTTTAAGGAGATTGACAGGGGTGAACTATCCTGTTCCACAGGGGTTATTCAGATGCCAGCCAGTCTTTCATTTTGACATTATATTTTCTCCTTTTTTCTCTGGCTTATCATGAGCTTTGCTCTGTTTGCGTGCCCTTTATTACTCTAACCTCTCAGTCGCTGCTATCTTTCATTATCCCTTCTGTACTTGGATATGTGCAGGGTTTAATTACTGGATGTTCATTGCAAGCCTATGATGATAAAAAGGCACCCATTCCCCAAATCCTGTGTTAGAAAGCTAGTAAGATATTAGGGAAATGAGGTAAATTTTTCACATCTTGAAACCACTGATTATACCCTTTCCCCATTAGGTTGAAATGACAACCTTTACTGACATGAGTAAAGCTTCTTAAAATGAAAGGCTGAGCCTCCTAAGCCTGGAAGCCTAAAGGGACCAGGGAACCTAAATGGATTGTGTGTACAGAGGCCTGCTCGTTGTTTTCCAAGAAAAGTGGCTCTGTCCCCAGCAGGCCATGAACTAGGGCTCTGATCCCACCTGCTCCTCAGGGGAAGAGGCACCACACAGAGATAATCTCTCTGACCAGGAAGAAGATTTGACTTCAGAAATGATCTTTGATGACACAGCCTCCTCAGAAGTCCCATCACCAGAAAGGACTGTCAGACCAGCCTCCATCCAACCTGAGAAGGTAGAGCTACCATCCTTAGACTCCAGCTCCAAGGCTGCGACCACGTTACAGTTGCCTACATGAAACCACATGAAAATAATAATAATTCCTAAAGCAAACAAGCTCTGTTTAAGAGTAGAAGCCTCATACATTGTGGGGATGGAGCCAACACCCAACTTAAGGCTACGCAAAGTTTGTTAGTGTAGTTGTTAGAGCAACATTTGGAGCACTAACAACTTTCCTGCTCTGCTTATCTTACCTAACTTTCCACTTGGTCTGGCCATGCTTATCGGAATACAATTCCTGTCCACTGAGCTGCCTTTCTGGTTTTTGACGCTGCCTGGACCCTTCATGGATCTGGCTGCCTGGAATCAGGAGCTAGCTGTGGCCTCCCTGGGATATGTCTCTCTCCAAGTAGAGATGGCTGCCTGAAAAGAACAGCGCATCAGTTTACTCAAAAGGGCAGAAAAATAGGAATGGCAATTTGTCTAGAGTGCTCCTCTCCCTGTGCCAGTGGATTAGAATGGGAATGATGTCAACAAATGAAAGATCTACTTTTTCTGAAGCCTTCCTGGGTGTCTGGAATGTAGAGTAAAACCAACTTGAATATTGTGTTTCAATTTATGGAGAGCTGAAGTGTGTGGGGAAGGGGGACTTGCATGTATTCTGTGGCAGATGACATGGAGGGATTCTGGTTACTGATGCTTACAATGAGGTTGAGAGGGAGGGGAGAGACATCTGTGAGGTTGGCATAGTGCAAAAGCACTGGCAGAGCCAATCTGGGGCTCCCACTGGTGTTTTTGTACCATGCCAACCTGATGTCTTGCCTCCTACCCCTCTCATCTTCTGGTAAGTAACAGTGATGCAACTGAGTGGATGACAGGTGAGCACCCCCCACGCCCACCACTGTGTCTGCTACACAAGTGATTATTTCTTCTGGTGCACCTATACGTCTGATTGGGGAACCTGCTGCCCTCCAGATGTTGTTTGATTCACAACTTCCATCAGCCCCAGCCACCACGGCCAATGCTCAGGGAAGATGGGAGTCTAACAATGTCTGAAGAGGCACAGTCTCGCCATCCATGCCATAAATATGGAAAAGTAACACATGTTCTTAAAGAGCTTTCTGCACATTGCCTTTAAAAATCCAAGAAAAAGGCCTTTGAAGCTTGATGTGAATCTTTCATCCATTCCTTCCATCTGGAAACCTTTTTGATTTCTTTACTAAAACAGCATCCTTTCTTGAATATGGGCCGGGCAAACATTATTTCCATTACTCTTTCTGCTGTTGGTAGTTTCTTGCTCCATTGATGGCTCATAACTGAAGCCGATAAAAGAGGTTCTGAGCCACAATGGTCACTTGAGCCTCACATTCTCCCAAACTTTAAGCCTTCCTCTTTAGGGCAGGGATGCGGAATTTGTGACCCACCAAGTTGTTGGACTCTAATTCCCATCAGCCCTAGCCATCATGGGAAATTATCAAGGATGATGGGAGTTGTACTCCAGCAGCATCTGGAGGTCCACATGTCCCCCTTTGCTGTTTTGTGGGAGTGCAACCTTAACCAAAGCAAATTGAGCTTTACCCACCTGGGCAGATGAACCATTCACCAATGGTACCACTGACTTTCTGGGACTGGGTATTCCTGTGTATTCCGTGCTCAGTTTGTGATGGCACTACCCAAGACACCAAATTGTATTTTGCTTAGACCTATATTAAGCAGATATTCTAATCCCTAGTTATGTTGTGTAGGTCTATCCTCTGAGTCATATATCACATCACTTGCAGCATGACAAAAGACCTATCAGAGGAATTAAACTGTAGGAGTCAATCTATAGTGCCATTCCTGAAATAAACATCTCTTGGGGGAGGAGAATGCTGTGATGTTTTGGTTGTCAATATTCCTTAGGCAATAACTTGTTACTTGATGTGATGTTGACCCCTGGAGGATACTGAGCCATGCGAGTAAGTTGACACTCAAAGGAAATGTTAGGAGCATCAATTGCACTGTGTCCTTTGATTGTCGAATTATATTAAATTGGACAGCTACTAAAGTGCTTGATTTCTAGCCATTAGACCAGAATCTGTTTTCAGTTGCACAGGTAAAAACAAGAAAGAATCCAGTCTTTATAGATGTACATACAGCTCTCTGGAGAGTTTGATTGTTAGATATTTTTTTCCAAAGCACACACACAAATGAATTGCTAACTCTAAATGCTACTCAAATCTAATTTGAAATCTGGCAAATACATGAAAAAGGCATTCTCTCCCCTATTCCACTGTGTTTTAGACCACAGGAAGTTCAAGTTGACTTCTATTTAAAATAATGGACACAATTTATGGAAAGATTGCTACAAAGAAAGGCCATAACTCAGTGGAAGACCACACATTTTGCATGAGCAATATCCCACATTCAATTCCCCATGTCTTCTAGTAAGGCTGGGAGAAATCCCTGCCTGAAATCCTGTCAAGCCACTGCCAGTTAATGTCAACAGTACTGCTTTAGATGGATCAATGGTCTGATTCAGTACACTTTAGCTTTCTATGTTCCATTTAGGTTTTGATTAAATATTATTATCAGGGCTTTTTTCAGGGGGAACTCAGTTCTGGCACCTCTCAGGTGGGTACCATTGCCATTCTAAGAGAAAGAGGTGTTCATAGTTGAGTTCTGGCACCTCTTTTTCTAGAAGAGAATAGCACCGATGAAGAATATTATTTTATATTTATCTATAGCTTGCCTTTTCCCCTGGCGGGACTCAAGGCAGCACTGGAGGCTTCCATGCACACATCAACATTTCTAAACTGGGTTGCCATTGCCTACTCATGTGGTGTTACTGTAACAGTGTCCCATGTCTTGTGGATCCTCACATAAGCACATCCACCTCTAACACCTAACAGACAATTGATGCCCATGAAGGTTTGAATTTGAGCACACAGCAACACGCCTGGGTCAGGATTTCAAGTTTACAGAAACGTATGTGCATCACTTCTCGGCCTTTTGGCTAAGATCAAGTGTAGAAATGTATGTGCAGTACTTATTTGTGCATGCATTTCCTGTTGCGGCACCAGGCTCACTGCAACTTGCTTTTTAATTCCTAGCAGCTGTAATGGTTATCCCCCATAATAGTCCATAATATGGGAAGTGCTGTAGAGCCTCTGCTTTGCATTCGGAATGTCCCAGGTTCAATACCTGGAATCCCCAAGTAAGGCTGGGAGAGAACACTGTCTGAAATCCTGAAGAGCTGCTACCAGACAGTGTGGACAATACAGAGACAGATGGACCAATCTTTTGGCTCATTATAAGGCAGCTGCCTATGAGTGAGATTTTTCAATACTCTTCAAAAATTAAATGTATTAACTAGCAGAGCTCTTGTTATAAATAAGTGCAGTGTAATGGAAGGGCCAGTTTGCCTCCATTGTTTCTCTCCTAAAAATAAACACCCTATTTTAAGAAATCCATTCTTAATCTTCTATATAATAGATTGGCTTATTTATGCTTTAATAATATCTGCAAGGCTGTTACGTTTTTTCTGGTTATATTTTTCGACGATGTTGTGTGCTGTTTCTTATTTGTGCGACAATAAACAAAAAGAAATCCCTTCCTTGCTAACGAGCCTCCCCTCTCTATCACAGAAAAAGAGTGAAGTAGGTAAGGAATTCACACTCCATTTTTTATTAGATGCCAGTCCCTCTGCCTCTAGAGCTCAATTTCATAGAATCGCGGAATTGTGGAGTAGGAAGGGAGCCCAAGGGTCATGTAATCTGACACTCTGCAATACAGGAACCAAGTGAAAGAATCCATAATGGATGGGCACCCAACTTCTGTTAATATCAACTCCAATGGAGGAGAGCTCACCATGTTCTGAGATAGTCTATCCCACTTTGAGATAGGCTAGGGACCTTTTTTTTCAGCTAGAACTCACTGGAACTCAGTTCCAGCATTTCTCAGGCGCCATTGCCATTATAAGAGAACAAGGGAGGTGTTCACAGTGAGTTAAAGGTAAAGGTAAAGGGACCCCTGACCATTAGGTCCAGTCGTGGCCGACTCTGGGGTTGCGGCGCTCATCTCGCTTTATTGGCCGAGGGAGCCAGCGTACAGCTTCCGGGTCATGTGGCCAGCATGACTAAGCCGCTTCTGGCGAACCAGAGCAGCGCACGGAAGCACCGTTTACCTTCCCGCCGGAGCAGTACCTATTTATCTACTTGCACTTTGATTATTTTTTTTAAAGATATTTATTAAAATTTTCAAAATATTACAAAATGAAAAAAGAAAAAAGAAAAATACAAAATAAAAGTAGTTAAAAACAACTCAATCTTTCCATTACTTATCTTTCATTTGCTTGTTTCCCGGACCTCCTCGCGCCTCCCTTTTTTGTATTCCAATTCAGTTTGTTAGTTCAGCAAATCCTTCCCCTCTTTGTTTATCCTAGTCTTTAATCTTAAAATATTGTAACATTAAATTTTTACCTATTAATAAACCATTTTTCATATTCCCCTATAATATTACAGCTAAAAACCACTTAATTTCTATCCAACATCATTCTAACATTCATTAATTTTGCAATATTTCTGTAAATAGTCTTTAAACTTTTTCCAGTCTTCTTCCACCGACTCTTCTCCCTGGTCTCGGATTCTGCCAGTCATTTCCGCCAATTCCATATAGTCCATCACCTTCATCTGCCATTCTTCCAGAGTGGGTAGGTCTTGTGTCTTCCAGTACTTTGCAATAAGTATTCTTGCTGCTGTTGTAGCATACATAAAGAAAGATCTATCCTTCTATGGCACCAATTGGCCGACTATGCCCAGGAGAAAGGCCTCTGGTTTCTTCAGAAAGGTATATTTAAATACCTTTTTCATTTCATTATATATCATCTCCCAGAAAGCCTTAATCCTTGGGCACGTCCACCAAAGGTGAAAGAATGTACCTTCAGTTTCTTTACATTTCCAACATTTATTATCGGGCAAGTGATAGATTTTTGCAAGCTTGACTGGTGTCATGTACCACCTGTATATCATTTTCATAATATTCTCTCTTAAAGCATTACATGCCGTAAACTTCATACCTGTGGTCCATAACTGCTCCCAGTCAGCCATCATAATGTTATGTCCAACATCTTGTGCCCATTTAATCATAGCAGATTTCACAGTTTCATCCTGAATATTCCATATCTAATTGCACTTTGACATGCTTTTGAACTGCTAGCTTGGCAGGAGCAGGGACCGAGCAACGAGTTAGGGCAGCTCTTTTTCTAGAGAAATAGCACTGGATAAGCTCATTGTGCCCATCTTTATGTTCCTGGGGACATGTAGGAGGTCTCACCTCATGTGTAAGTTACTAGAACCAAGTTTAGACTCTTTATGAGTAAAATACTAGTTAGGCAATGCTGCTCATGTGTGTGTGTGTGTGTGTGTGTTTAAATGCAGCTACCATCCTCCCTATAGTTGTTTGGCTCTTTAAAAGAACTCTGACCTGGTATTTCAGAAGAGGCTGGTCGGTGCTGCAGAGCCTCAGAGCGCAAACACTTAACCTATCATCCTCACTAAGCTTTTAAGAAGGCATGGAGTAAGTCCTTGCCCTGGTCAGAGCAGGGAGTTTGCGAAAAGATATCCTTTCTTCACATAGTATTAGAGTATTGTAGTGCTGAGGCCTCAAAGCCAGACGGCAACAGAAAAATTGGGGACTGGGAAGGGTGATTGTGCTCAGTCAAATAACACCAGGCTGTTCTCACTCAAGGGCTGGAAGTTGTGAGAGTGTATAAGATGTACATAAACACCTTAACAGAAAGGAAATAAAACTGGGACTTCTCCCAACTATTGTTAGGTGCTGGAAGAAAGTATCATTCTTCATCTCATCTGAATGGAGCACGGCAAAGTGCTTCTCTGTGAAGTATATGTTTGCTGGGAAAATATGACTCTTTTGTTAAAAGAGAACATTCACAATCTTGGCTTTAGGTGTAAATACAACAAAATAAATGGAAGGGAGTTTTCTTGTCTCTTCTCTCCCTTCTTCTGCAGTGATTTTTTTCTTTTTTCTTTTTTTTTGGAGTGCCTGTAAAATATGTCTGGAGAAGAATTCTCTGCTGCTCCTGAGAATTTCAAAGGGAAAGTCTTTTTAAAATGTAAATCTGCTAGCTGTTTAAAATGAAAAAGAAAACCTCCGTATGTTTGTGTGTGGAAGGAAATAAAAAGAGAAGGATCTTATAGTATTAGTCAAGCTAGGAAGCAATAGGAATCTGTACATATGCAAATTGGCATAATGTAAATTCTCGAGCAGGTTCTTATCCTCCACTGAACAAAAAAAACTCCATGAGTTCTTTTCTTGGGGGTTTTTTGGTGGGGGGTTTTTGGCATCTGAATAAATGAGACAGCCAGACCTATGGAAAGGCATGTGTGAAGCAGGGAAGTTGTCTAGTGGTATACAAAATTAAAAATCCAGTCAGTCAAATAATCCATTCATTATTCATGACAAAGATCTGAAGCTGATCTTAGGAAGTTATTATAACATGGATATTCAGGCAAAAAACAACAACAGATAAATAATGGGGGGAGATTAACCCGGCATGTAAGTTGCAAAGGGTTTTCAAAGATCAGGTGGCTCTGAAAATCAGAACTGAGCTTCAGATCACTCAAGCTGAGACTTCCCCACTGAAAGCCATAGGGCTGAGTGATAGCTTGGGCAATCTGTTTCAACAGAGGGCACATGGGAAGGAGAAAGACCAGCTACGCGCCACCGAAACTTGAACAGAAAAGGCTCAGGAAGGAGGAAGCATGCCCTATCTTAAGTCTCCCACACTGGAGGGAATTAGTTACGTTATCAATCACAAGACCACATCCCCTTGCACAGGCAGAGGTCCTTGCACTAATGGGATAACTTTGTTGGATACATCCCAGTATTTCTTTTTGGATTTGCAACTGTACATATCAATTAGTATGTGCACATTTTATGCAAATCTGTGCCCTCTTTTTTTGGTGATTCCTAGTGTTCCTGCTCATTAAAAATGAAAGGTCTGAGTCTCACCTCTTCATCCTAGTGTCTTGGGTACAGAGATTCCAATGTGCGAGCTGAAAAGATACCCACGCTTTTGTAAAATCAACCTGAAATAGACCTTGCTGTTACTAATGGATGGCTAGAAATAGCCACTGATCTTGAGAATTGTTAGAAACGCTGGCACTTTAATTGGAAAGAGATTATTAATGCATGGAGCAGGGCAGGGGTTTTCATTTTTTTCACCTTGATGAGGGCACAACACCTAGCCTTTCTGCTAAAGAACCAACGAGTGTCTGTCGCACAACAGCAAAGTGCTTCGCAAAGTACTCTGGGTGATGCTGCAGGGCACACAATCAATTCATATGAGGCACGATGGCAAGGCTTGGGTGTGCCAAGTCTGTAATCCAGTCTTTTTCAAAAGTTGCCATCCCATGTGAAAGGGGCCTCCATTTTTCTGCCTCATTCATAAGGTACTTGAGAATTTCTTTGTGGCCTTTTAAGTTTACTTTAGAGTTGACAAGGTAGCCATAGATGATGTATATGTTTTTCTTTTTCTTTCCAGCAAATATTTCTACAGCACTCTACAGCCTCCCTGGCTCCCCATACTTAACAACAACAACAACACATGGGAAGAATTCCTTCATGATATATTTCCCTGGGCAATTAGGAAGCCTGTTGAGAGCAGCCTGCTCATAAGATGATGTGTACAATGGAAGCAAAGACATTCACAAACACCCCTAAGCCACCTCAAAACACCCTTCAGAGTGTCATCAAAATTTTCTCTCCCCTTTGATAATTTCCAAAAGCAGTTTTTTGTCCCGTTAATTGGTGAAGAATGGTGTCAACATGAGGGAGGACTCAGGGTCTTGACACACAAATTGGTGAGGAATGGTAGGAGAAATTTGGCACCGCCTTTTCAACAGATGTAGCTGTTGAATGAATGTAGAATGGTCTAATGAAACCTAGAAAGTGCATATTTTTAATGTTTTAGTGCTGTGAGACGTAAGCGGGAAAGAAACTTCCACGTCCTTAAAATTTCAGACAAAACATCTCTGCATAAGTGCTAAATATAGCCGTAATTAAATTTCATTTAAATTGCACAGCTTTCATTCTCCTGGATAAGAGTGCCACGTGTGATGTTCAGAGGCAGAAAGTATTTAACGCGTTTAGAGTAC